AGATATTTAGAGGCATTTCGAAGGTCCCCTCGCAGCCTTCTCTTCTCCAGGCTGAACAAGCCCAGCTCCCTCAGCCTTTCCTCACAGGAGAGATGCTCCAGTCCCCTCATCATCCTCGCAGCCCTTTGCTGGACTCTCTCCAGTAGCTCCTCATCTTTCTTGAACTGGGGAGCCCAGAACTGGACACAGCACTCCAGATGCGAGCCCCCTTTCAAGTTCTTTTTATTCCCCTTCGCCATTAATTTTGACCACGTAGGAAGAAACAAGTATTTTGAACAGAATGCCAGGCACTTCCTACTCACTGTCAAGACTCCATCTCCTTGAGGGACTTCATTGCACCTTGCAGAATGAGGATTATTTGGTGGTTATGGACAGGAAAGCCTACTGTGGAACAATTCTACAGCTCGGTTACTGGTAATGAGAAAATGCCCCGAAGCCCCGGGGTGATCACGAAGAGGCTCTCCACTGACACAGAGAAGCCGGTTTGCATCGTACACCAGCTACGGCGCAGGCCCACAGAGCGAAGCGAGGGAGCTGGCCACACACACACAGCCATTCCGTACACCAGCACGTTCCTTCCTCTCCTCCCTCTCTGCTCAAAACAAGCGGGCAGTGAAGAAAGGGAGGAGGAAAAATTCCCACTCCTGTAAACTTTCTAGTCTGTTTTCAAAAAACTCGTCTCGCAGCACGCTGACAACACAGGCGAGAAAAAGGAATGCAAGAGAAAAGGCTTTTAAAAACCTTGGATCACAAACAAACATTTCCATCCGCGAAAGCAACGCAGGAAAGAGCAGGGAATAATGGAAACTGGTGCAAGGAGCAAAGGCCGAGAATAGAATTAATAACAGAATAAACTACACTTCAGACCAGATTGCAAAGGGGTTAGAATTCGCACGTATGGAATTTCATGTCCAATAACCCAGCAACACTGCAAATCTTGAAAAGGGACCACGGAACCCACCCTGGGTAGAAAACATTTTCCATCACAACTTTGAACCTTCCCCAGAGTGTGAAATAGCCTTGACTGGAATACTCCTCCCCCCGTTTTAGCTGTCCTAATTAGTACCGCTTCAGAGCACTGATGGACTCAGAGATGTCCCCGAGCTACTCAGTGTGAAGTACAAGCAGCTTGCACACCCATCCCATACAAATAAACACCCCCGTCACACATATGCTTCCCCCAAAAAAGTGATAACGCTCTTTTTGTGAGAGTTGTGATTTTTTTTTTGAATGGTTCTGCTGTCCAATTTATTAAGTTAGAATTTTCTTTGTCTTTTCTAAATCTTGAACCATTCTGTGGTATATCTTTATTGCAAAAAAGTCAACATGCATCTTAGAAATTCAGGTTGTAATCAATAAAACAAACATTACATACATGAATTTAAATGTATAAACAGTTAGAAATTCAACAATATCTCCTATTATACTATTACACAAGTTCACAATCTGTAAAAACTATAGTACAAGTTTACTATACACTAAGAGGAACTTTATTCCTTTTCACATGATTTTGCTAAAAAAAGTGTTGTTTTCACAATAAGCAGGCAACTTTTTTCAGATTTATCTTTTTAACTCCGGAGTTGGTTTTGTTAATTTTGCTTGGGTTAATTCAACAGCGCAAGGGAGATAATTCTTCATAACGGCTCCCGTCTCTTCTCGACACATAGTACTTCACAGCCCAGGCTCGGGCTGGTGGCATCTCACGCCCCATCGCCTGTGAACACCCTGGCTGGCGGCCACCAGCCACGCCGCCGAGCACAGCTTTTGTCTCAGGTACTCTCGGACAGCACAGGCGAATTTCACAGCAAAGTGTTGCCGTAACACCAAAGCAAGCTGTCACGTTACCTATTGAAAAGACCAAACCAACCCCAAACAATCCCCCCCAACAGTTTAATACAGCCTAGCACACCCTAAAATACAGGGAGATCCCTCAGCTTCAGTGAGCTGAAGCCACTTCCCAACAGCTTTCCTCCTCCTCCTCGAAGCCAGACATCGCTACGCTGCCCACCCCTGGAAGTCCCAACAGCGTCAGGGCACGCTCTCGCCACGTGCGCGAGGGCAGAGCCACAGCTCGCCCGGTGCCTCGGCGCTCAGAGACCCTGGTCAGGATGGCGCCTGAGGAGCCAAGCAAGCCTGCCAGTGCGTACTGTAAAGGGGGGGAACCAAATCTTACGAAGCTCTCCACACATCATGAACTAAAGGTACCGCAGTCGCTCCCCTCCCGGGGTGTCTGGGCAAGGGAAGTGTCCCCGAACACCGCGTGCCAGTCGGGCGTCGCTTCGGAGCTAAAACCATATGAAAAGGAATCCCATTCTACGTGGGTCAAAGGCTACTGCAATTTTTCTTACAGCTTCATTCATTCACTGTAATTTTAATTCTCCAAATACAAAAATACAACAATTCTTATTGAAATCTATACGCTGGTAGTTTTAGTACACAAAAAAGCAAAATATTTACAAAATTATACAGTTTAAGAAAAAGCTCTGTACAAAAAAATATATAAATCCTTTTGTTCCCTCTATCATTTTTTAAACTGTCAGGACTCAAATATGTTTGTCGCAACGGATTTTTCAACATATACACTGACCGAGCCACAGACATTAAAAAACAACAGTAGAGATGATGGGAGAAAAGCAAGACATTCTTCTAAGTACATAGGATTCGTTTCCCCTCGTTTCTTCATGTCTCTAATTTAGCCTCAGTATTGGTGGGAAAGCCCCATGGAGAGGTGAGGTTTCAATGTGAAGAGACAGAATACTGACAGACAGATTCCCTCCAGCCGAGAAGGAAACAGAAGGTTGTACTGGTTTGGCTTTTGAGACACCACCACGGCAAAGGGGTGACGAGGCTAGGGGATGCTCAGCTGCACGTCACTAGCTACGCTCAGAGCCATCGTAACCTACAGGCTTTGATGTAAGCTCTTCTTCAGTGAGCAGCTTGCTGGCAAATGTACTGGTAAACTAATTATTCAAAAGAGGAGAGCATTTTTGCACCGACATCCTGTTTATTTTGTACAGAAATGTACATAAAATGTACTGAAAAGTGCAGGGTACAAACGGACACAGTCGAGGAAAACGCCTACTAGCTAACACGTTCGTGCACCGCAAGAGCCGTGCAGCAGTTAGGGTGCGTGGCTCAAGGATCTGAACTTGCTGTCCGTGTTTCTGCCACAACACACACCATTCCGGGGCGGGTGTTGGCGTGCGTGCATGTGTTTAGAATGGTATAACAGTATGCAACTGAGAAGGGAATGGTGTTCATCTGAAACGTGGCTGAACAAAACCACACCTGAAGATCAACTACTAACCTTCCAAACCCAGCTCTGAACGCTCCTCTGAAGACTTCTTACTTAAATCACCGGTTTAACACAAGCCTTTGAGCTGGCTAAATAGCATTTTGCTCTGAACGCTTCACGGGTCTGGTTTGAAGGTAAAGAAACAGCCGATACCAGGGAGGGGACGCAGAGTTTCTGCCGGCTGGCAGGCAGCTGCCCGTTCAGCTGCTTTTCTCGCTGATGAAGTATGAAACTCCTTGCGTTCAGGCTCACAAATACTGAAACGCAGTAAACAAACGGTCTAACTTAAACTTGAACCTTATACTGAAACTAGAGAAGAAAATCAACAGTGAGTGAAAATTCACTCACATACGTGTCACTGCTGATGTGTTCTGTGAAGCAGAACTTGAAGCATCAGAGTGCACTGGACAATACTGCAATACCCTGTTAAATTGCTTCTTCCATCTCCTCTCCACAAGCAGTAGAACACAGAAACCGCGCGGCTTTCGAACTGACTGCAAGAAATGATTTCTGAATCTAGCCACAAATAATTCCTGCCAGAAGTGATTCCATATGAAATAAAATGCTACCCTTTTTCAATTAGCAAAATCAGGCAATTTTTTCTTTCATAACATTTAATGAAAGTTTGTCTTCCCCCCAGCCCCATAATATTGCTAAATAAAACCTGTAATATCTTTTCAATTACAAACTAACAAATCAATCACATTATAAAAAACCCAAAACAAGGTAATACAGGTGACACGAAAAGAGGACAAGAAAACACTATTTTTTCTCCCCTCTCTTTTTTTATCCTTCTTGAATTGAAAAAAATCGCCACCCTGGTGGGCGTGATAATCGTGTAAAATGTTACTGGGCCTTTGGCTAGCTTAGTAGCACAGCTCTATGTCCGAAATGTTTTTATAACAAACTTTGCTCACTTTAAATCTTGTGGTTTGAAAAGAACGTAAAGTGTTTTTTGGCTCATCAACTTCCTTAAATAAATGTTTAAAAGATGTAGCTTGAACTATATTCCTAAAAGTATACATTTCCAACATCAAATTTCATCTTCTCCAAGAACGGGATTCATCCTCATCTTCATCATCATCATCATCATCTTCGTGCAAAAATAAATCTGAGGTTTCAGTCTCCTAGATGAAGAGAAAACGTACTTTTAAACAAAGCAGTTCCATGCTGTATCCTAGGAAACGTGTCACGCAACACAGCATCAGCTGCACTTTAATATCAGGTTCTGGTGTACCTGAAGTTTCACTGAAACGCACAGTTACATTCAACAAGGTTTACGGAAAGAACAGTAGCCTCCCACACCGAGGAGAAGAACGCTGAACTCCAAAGGAAGCAGGAATAAACAACCACCCACCCTCTCGGAAACAACCGCTTTAAACTCTGTTAAATACCTGGACAGAAAAACCTTTAAAAGCTAACCGTGCTCATAATGACAGGAAAGAACATACACAACTTACCCTACAGCGCAGCATTAATACTGTGAAGTAAAAAGATTAGCAGCCTGCATACAGAGAACGTAAGGTTTATTTTCACAGTTGACAAATCAACATCCCATCCAGAAAGGCTATTTTATTTTTCCTTTTCCCTTTTTTAAAATGTGGAAAACGTATCTGACTATTCAAAAACAGTTACGTTTCTGGTTTGCAAAACAATCTTTTAGGAAATTTCTTCAGTAAACAGAGAACTGTATCCTAAAAGAGCTCTTAGCAATTAGATTCCTAGAAGACTGATTAGGTTTTTAATGTATTTTCATACCTCTTCCTTAGACTCCTCTTCCTCAATTTCTGTGGACACAGAGGGTACCTTAGGTTTGTACCATGATATCTGTAGCCTTCGGTCTTTGAACCGGGATCCTTGGTTAGCAGCCTAGATTGTATTTTAAATGAACACATTTTCAAATGGAGGATCAAGCGAAGAATTTTTCAGATCACCAGCAACGAGCCAGACCCAGTGCACACCGTGCAGATGCGCATCTGAAGATCTCAAACACATAGGCCACAATCATCCACTTCAGTCTTCCGAGAGCAACTTCAACCACACCTGCATCTGCTAAATAACGCTCATCTACCAGCAATCCGAAAAGATTACTGGAGCTCTGAACTGACTGTGGCATTGACCCTTTCTCAGCAAAAAACCTAGGTTACTGTGAGGGTAAAGAGGAGGCACTTCCCCCTTTAGTGGCACCACATGCAGCAGCAACAAATAACCACACTACCTAGCTCAAAATAGCGGGATCAAAGCCTGATAAGCTTTAAAATACAAAGGTAGACACAAGGAGTTAAAAAATCCTATTTCAAAACCGTGGGGAAAAAAAAATCCATTATTCTACTTACATTCTCAGCTTCTGAGCGAGATTTAAAAGTGAGAACAACACTTAACGGGGAATCCTCTTCTTGAAGGTCTTCAATATCTCCAAATTTCTATGAGAAAAAAAGCGATTAGGAATGGGAGTAATATTCTCCACCAAAACCACGATCATCATGTGCTACAACTGCAGCGTACTGAAGTGCCATGGAAACATTACTTTTTGGACGGAAAAGTGAGAGCCAGACAAATCTCCGCTGCATCATCCAACGACATTGCAGCATTTGTTCCTCTATTTTTGGGCAAATCTGAGGTTTATTGTTTTTCTAATCAGTGGAGCTTAATTTTGCAGGAGGAAAGGAAATCAGTGTATTAACTTATAGCTCTGAAGTGAATTCAGTGTCTCCCTTATTCCTGTCTGCCCTTCATTGTTGTACTTCTTGAGACCTGTTAAGCAACTCCTTTAGAGCTCATTAATCTGCAAAAGAGATTTCAGTAACAGGAAACAAACTTTGCTGCAGAGCTCCTGAATACATTCTATAAGCATACTACTAGGAGGAGTAAAAAAAATAATCTAGTATGGCTAGACTAACAAGAAGTTTGCATTTTTAGAACTGTTATACTGCACAATGGTGAAAACTGGAATGACCACAGCAATGATATTAAATAACAAAAAAAAAACCCACACAAACAAAAAAGAGATTTATGCATGGAGTATAAGCAGCACAAAAGAAAATTATCGTCAACTTCAGATTTAGTATGAATAGAAGAAAAGCAGTTTAAAAGCCAGTAAGATAATGGCCTGAGTAACAGCACTAATTGTCTGTAAAACTTCTACCGGTTTTAGCAGCTAAGGATGGCCAAAACGTCCAAAAATATGAAGTCTCTCAGAAATAGAATTAAAGCAAAGATCATTTTTCAAAAAGGCACTCTGGTGCCCTCTTAGGGCTTCTCCCAGGGTTCATGGCACTGTTGTTGTACCATAAAGCAGGTTTGTCTTTTTCATCAAACCACACGACGTTTTCCACTGAATTTACCTACTCGAAGCAGTAGTAGTGGCCTCCAACCTTCTGACAAGCTGCTAGGCCGAAGCAGGGAGTAACAGCTCCCCAAAGAGCAACGCTTACCCTGCTGTTCCCACTCAAACCAGAAACAACCAAGGTTTCAGATGACCAGTTCTCTTGAAAACTCTACTGCTTTTCTGTATCCAGCTTTAAAGGGCAGGATTCTACAAAAAAAACTTCTCTGGGAAGTTCAGTAGCTTTGTACCTGAAAACATTTCATTCTGCGAAAAGTAACTGAGGGAAATGTAAAATCAGTTTTTCCTTTATTACGTTAATTTAGTTATGATGCTAACACATTTGTTAACTTAGCTTGCAAACTAGCAAGCTACTTGCCCCACCATGAGTTCATAAACGAATTCAGCTTCTTTGAAATTGATGTCCTGTTTTGCAAAACAGTGCTTTGCTTCTTAAGCTAGAGAGAAACAAGATAAATGGCATGAATTGCTAATCTGAAAAATAATTTGTAAACAGAGAGAGGCTGACAGGTATTTTCCAGCCTTCTAACATCTGTTTTAAACTATTTTAATGCAGAATTAATAAGAATAAGCTATTTAGATTTTCCCATTAAAAGAATGCATTGGGCAGCTACTTAAAGCAGCTAGAAAAGACATCACATTTACACCCTTGATCACGCTTGAAGCTGCTTGCTTATCCATAGCCTGTTCCATGAATTCAGAATGAAGTCTTTGATTTGCATGCACTAACAGAAACAAAAAGCTTGCCTCTTCAAGAATTCGGAGAAGAAACAGTTATTTACAAAGTTCTTAGCACGCCCCTCTTCACAAGGAAGCACACATCCAGGGTATCGGTTACCCACTTGAGCTCAGATTTATAGTTCTGTCACAATTCTCCTCTTCAGGTTTTTCTTTTTTTTTTTTAACGTGACCTCATACTTACAGAGAAGTGCTGTAACAATTCATCTTTTTCCTCTTCAACGAAGCCTCCAACTGTTAGTGCTTTGGGACGATGATCCACCACCATATGATTCAACATGCCCCTTCCTCTCCCACCGCGACCCCGTCCTCGTCCTCTTCCTTGGGCTGGCACTGTCTTCCCTCGACCAACAGGCAAAATGCCCAAACGGGCAGCCTGTTTAAGGAAGGCAAAGAATGTTCAAAGCCATCATCAGATCAAAATGATTTAAAACATTTATGTATCATAAATACATTAGAGGCATTAATCCAGACAAACTCACTTCTACTTGTAACTGACTCAGCTTTTTCCGCAATTCAGTTGTGTCTTCCCCAGAAGAAAGCCTCTTATGGAAGTCCAGTTCTGCATCTAAAAGTTCCTTTTGTGCCTTCGAGAAAAAGGTGCAGAAAGAGAAAACAGAAGGGAAAAGCAGAACTGCAATGTGTGCTTTTAATGTTTTATTTCACTTCTTCAGCAATACATTTATGTAAATGACATAGATCAAGATACAACATCCACACTCTCCTCTACATTCAGTTTGTTTTAATTGCCTCCCTGCCCCTCCTCCAAACCATTTATTGAAGGGCCCAGAATTCTTTCCTTCAAAATTGGAACAAGCTTGTATGAGCTACATGCAAAACTAGGCCATCTAAGCCCCTTAAAACCATAGCTTGCTTGTCCATGGTTATGTCTCTCAAATTCAAAATACTGCTTGGAAGTGTTTTGATCTAATGTTGCTGCATTTTAGGACACAATATTATAAATGGTTACAAAGGACAGGTGGGCAAGAGTCTGGCGCAATAAATACCTCTGTCTTGGACTTTAACTTCGATGGTGTAGAGGTTGTAGATGAAGTTTTTAATTCATCCTTTAACTGAGATATTTTTCCTGTTAGTTCTTTCAAGGTCTTCATTATCTCCGCTCTCTCTTCTGGTTTCATGGCCTTATTTTTCTCCAGCTTGGATATCAACATCTACGTATTGATAAAAGAGTAGGAATATAGAATTCCAGGAAAAACAACACTGAACGGACAAGTATCTCCAAAATCAGAATGTATTTACTAGAAGACATTCCAGACTTACCTTCTGGCATTCTATTTGTTTTTCTAACATCTCCTGCTTCTTTTTTCTCATGTCTTGTTGGAGTTTCATTGCCTCCTATATGAAAAGAAAATTCTTCTAATCAGTAAAAAGCAGTCTAGCATTATATGTACCCATATACATCATATTTTCTTCTTCAAGCTATAGAAGTGAAGGCCTTAATGAAAACTACTAGTCTGCAAAACACAAAAGTATGAAGTGTATCTGATCCTGAAAAAAAACAATAATAAGTTGCTAACTTCCTGCTGTGAAGTACTCTAATGAATTTCTGCTCCCTTCAGACACCTCTTAAGAAACATATCCTACATTGCCATTTAAGTGTCTCACAGCTGCAGAGATTAAAAATTAGAGAAATGCCTCAAGAAAACCCCCACATGACCACGTGGGTCAAGTAAGACACCCCAAAAAGAATACTCCCTTACCCACGATTAACCTCAGTGTGCATTTGCAAGATAGTCCGACAATGATGACAGAAACTACTGTAACGTAGAAAGCTACCCGGCAATATTTGAGGTTTAAGTTGCCTGTCAAACCTTCCTTGATGAAGTACTTTGATCGCTATACTGTCAGTCAGCCAATAAATCGTAAAGTACCTGCTTTTTTTTAAGGGCTTCTTGCACATCGTGAGGTTTAGACCCTGCACCAGGCTTCATGGATGCTTTTAAGTTTGAAGAACTGTAAACCATTTTTGAGTGGCTTGCAGAAGTAGGAAATGTCTGAAATAGTAAAAACACACACACAAAAATACATAGTAGCTTAAAATGAATGTGATGTACCATCAATGAATTTGAGAGGAATGTATTCTGTGAAACATGTACACAAACTTCCAGCTTTGTGCAATGAGACAAAAAGACCGAGGCAATTAAAACACATGCATAAAGGCATCAGCCTAATGGTCAGCTTGCTTGGAAGCGGTCAGCTTAAACGCTTGTTAAAAGCATTTCTGCAAAAGATGCTTTCTTTCCTTCTTCATCCAAAACTCCCTCTGTATCCTGATAGCCACTAGGAAGACCACTGTACCTGATCTTCTGCATCTGCACTATATTCAGCTTCACAGACACAGTCTAACATCACACCTTCTGACCAAATAAGGCAGCAAAAGTCACCTCCATACTTCCTTTCTTAAAAGAAGGACTTCTCTGTGGCCAAGAACACATGCTGCACTATGGTGTCAGTGTGAATTAAACTGTATCAGCTTGAACTCTATGCAGAAGTACTCTATAAGCTTCTAGGCACTACTGTTAAAGCACACCATAAGCTCAAAAATCACTGGGAAAGCAATTACATTTGCCAACAAAAAGCTGACATCACATACAGGCTATCAAATTCCTTTACTATGAAGCACTGGCAAAAAAATTTTGATACTTAAAATACTGATACTTTGTTTCTAAAGTTATTGTCCCTATTTTATACAAACAGCTAATGAAACAATGACGAAGTGACTGAGCATGGTTGCATGGAACATTAGTGAAAAGAAACAGAACCAACTGGGAACAATCCGCAAGGTCTGCTTGCTAGTTCCTTCTCAACTAACAGGCCAAAGCTTTAACTGCAAGTATGAAGATGGTCAGCCTTCATCAACATACCTGAGCATCCTCTACCACAGCCCCAGACTGGCTTACGTCAGGCTGGTTTCCACCTGCTGCTCCAAGGCGACGTTTCACTGGGACTTTATTAAGGACATAGGCACCAGATGCCAGTGGTTTATTCATCACCTGTGCATCCACAGATATTAAAAAAAGGAAAGATTATATACTCTGCTTTTTTCAAAGTAGCAGACATTTAGGAATGCGGATAACCCTCACCACTCAATCACTAGTTTACGACAGCACAATACCTTTGACAGGTTGCTATGCATTGTTACAGCTGGAGTTGTGGTCAGGGCTTGCTGCTGAAGGTGAAGTTGGTGATGAAGAGACTGCGTGGGTGTCTGCTGCTGCTGTTGCTGCAGCAGTGGGGGCTGCTGTTCACTTTCTCTGTGCCACAGTACCCTTATAAACCGATTGTTCAGAACCGCCTCTGTGCTGGAAATTGCCTTCCTAGCCTCGTCGTTAGTTAGGTACTGAATTAGAGCAGCTTCAGGATCATTCTGGAAAGCAACCTAAATCAAAAAGTTCATTAGCATGCATTATTTCTCAAGGAAGAAAACATCTCAACCAGTAGCAAACCGATCTACAAATAATCTGCAATAATTAGTGGGATATCTAATTATATTAACAGCTCAAAATACAGGTAAAACATTCTACGTAATTAAAGCCAAGCACCTTTTTGCAAATATCACATGTACTTGCAGCAAAGCCTATACACCATAACATAACATAAAAATAAAAAAGACTCCTCCACCAAATAGCACCACATATTCAGAGCACTGAACTGCCACTGCGGTACGACTGAGGAGGGCCTAGTGCTGACTCCAAAGCTCTTTGTTCTAACCTCCTGAAAGATGACTGCTGTCCAGGGACGTACAATGCAAAGGTTCGCCACATTCTCAAAGCAGCATTATCTACAGCCTCGAATAAGACTATTTTTCTCAAAAAATTAATCACAGGAATAAAAACCTATCTTGGACTTTGTAGTACAGTGACTGAGAGCATGCTTTATATGCATTATTTCACGATTGAGGCACAGAAATCACCACAGTATCTTCTGAGCTAAGAAATAAAGTTATCAAGAAACACAGAGGCTTCCCAGCTACCTGTCTTTTACTTAGACCTCTAACCGAGGACTTAAGAGGCAATTGTTTTGTCTAGAAAAATAAATGGAAATTAAATGCTACTTTAACCGTGTAACTACCTGTGTTTTCCTTCTATAGTGCTTCTTCCCTTCTTACAGTGCAAGGAACACCACTGAACTGAAGCCAGTTCTAGGATGCAAACTGGTAATAAATGGATGCAGATAAAGACTATCCTGCAGCATCTTTGTCAAAATCCTGACTATGAAATGCTGTAGGACTATTATACAGGACAGAAATTGTTAGAAGGTCTCTTTCATATATTACACACAAGTTGCTCAAAAACCTGAGTTGGCTTAGATACTGTTAAACCTGCAAGCCTTTCAAATTGTGTAAGACCTCACGAAGGCAGAGCCCAACATACTTTTACAGAATTTACATAACAACACAGAGCGAACCAAGCAAAGGTTTCTTTGATTACCTACTCTCCCAGTTAGCCTCCATTAAGATTTGTCAAGAAACGTAGCTCAGCTTCAGGAAAAATAAAATACCTGCATAACAGGCATAAAATCGAACTTTATTTTTTACCTGAATGTTTACAATAGTTCCAAACTTGCTGAAATGTTCGTTGAGCTGTGTTATATTGTTCAATTCTGGTGGGATTTTTCGAACTTCTAATTTTGTATTAGTATACTGATTCTTTTTCAAAAATCCTGGCTTACTCTGGCTGTTATTTGCTTGCCTGGAGAAAACGAGAACAAGATAGTAATTTAAGTAGGCATACATACACTTACGTAAGGCAGCAAATGTTAAAAGCATACACTCTAGACATTAACAAAAAAGAGCTCCTCCCACCACCAAATATTCAGTTTCCGTATCACGTGGACACAGACTTTCTGACCCAACCAGCTCAAACTACAGGGACTAGTGAATGCCGCTATTCACAGCATTGATAGCAATGAAGTACATTCCGATTAGTCAACTGCAGTTGTTAAGTCTTACTTTCCCAGCCATGGTTTCTTTAATGGTGGACATTCCATGCTACTTGGAGATCTCTTCCTGCTGTCTGGTTCAAGGACAACTCTCGTTACATTGCTGCTGTTATTTGTAATGGGAATGGGAGGTTCAGTCTGGATGATAATATTGGCAGCTGGAGGAAAGGAAAAAGGCCTGTGTTATTTATCATACATCAGTGGAGACATCGGGACAGTTTTCACTTAAACAGCAAAATAGGATTGAGTTTAAAAACATAAGAATTAAGAAGACTTTATCAAGTCAGTCAGTTTTGTTTACAAAGTTACTTCAGAGATCACTTGTTGGCCTAACTAACAATTTGGGGAAAATCAAACATTTAGTCCAGCCAGCAGGGGTGAGATTTTGACCTTTAAGATTAGTATTAGCTTGAAGAAACAAAGCTAAAACAAAGCTAACCTACCCCATCTTTCAGGTACTGAAAATTCAGATTCTGCAAGAAAACAAAAAAAAAAAAAAAGAAAAAAAAAAGGCAGAAGAGAAACAAGGCTACGTTCCCAGACTTCAGGTTAGAGTTCTGCAGTGTGTCAGAGGCCGAATAAACAACCAGCTTTCCCTGTATTAACCCTTGACAGTGAAAAAGCAACCAAGAACCAGTTCCTCCCACTGCCATCCCCTCATCATCCCTCCATCCAGTTTTCAGCAAACTGTTAATTAAACACAACTATGGCATGAAATTTTACTCTCTGAAACACTGAAGTTCGAAACGACTTGTACAAACACAAAGCTTAAGCACTAGATCAGCCAAGTATTTATTTAAAGCATTTTTAAGATTATGCTATTGCTGTTAGTCTCCTGCGTATGCCAAATATTCAGCTCCTAAAAAGAAGTCTGAGTTATAAGTCAATTTTCTATGTCTTTTCTATAAGCCAGAGCTCTGCTGATTACACTGGGGAGAACAAAGACTGGGCATTTTCGGGCATGATTTTAGAGTAAACCTTTCACACACCTGACAAAGACAATAAAACAAGTGGTCTGAAGCACCACTGTCGAACACACATCCATGCCTTACAACTGGAACGGGTTCTTAAGAGAGAATCTGAGGGCTAGCAATAAAGCCCCAACCCTGCCTTCATGATGTTCACTAAGACGAAAACAGCAACAGCAATTTCTGCAATATTTAACTCTACTCTTTATAGGATGAGTCACCAGAAGGAAATACTGAAAAATAAACTTCTTTCGTATCTACTGAGTAAGAAACACTGAAGTGTAATAGGAAACACTGAAATTTAACAACTTTTATTTTCAGGATTAGGGCGGGGAAAGCAGGAGGGAAAAAGAAAGCTAGGCTAACAGAACAAAAACTTCTTCGAAGAGCCTCGACTTGTTCTCTCCCCGAAAAGAGATTTTGTACATGTCACTACTAAGAGACCTCATCCACATTCATCCATTTAAGGATTCAGAATTACTTAAATGGAGACTGGGATTTCCACGGGCTAGGAAAACTAGAACGCTACCTGCAATGTTCATTTTCGAGAGAACATCTGGCTGACAGAGTCAGACCACCAAGTACAGAAACACGCCGCGATAATTCCTCTCATCACTACCACCACAACAGCCGAGGCAAGCATTGTAGACCACTGCCGCTGCGCCCCAGGTCCTAAACATACCCTCGGTAAATCACAAGCAGTCTTCAGACTGTACTGCATAAAGCCACCTTTCTGCACCACCCACCACCCGAAAAGTGCCTTCACAGGCTAAAGAGGAATAAAACCCCAACCAACCAACCAATCCTTGTAACATTTCCAAGCAAGTGGTTATTTTTAACCATAAAGGCTGCTTTGGCTTTAATATGGTCATATTAGTATTTTTAAAAAGGTAAAGATGTCTGAAAATTGCTGTGAAATACTAGATCAGTGAGAAAAACTATTGCTTTCAGTCTAAAAAAGGGGAAAATAAGTGTTGACGATCCTGGACAAAAATAGCAACCACAATGACTAGAAACCCTTCCTACCTCTTGGATTTGTATCCATCTCCCCAGATGTTAGGCCAATTAGATTTGGACGCTGCGTTTGTGCTCTTGTAAAGAACTGTCGATATTGAGATCTACCAGCACTGGTAATACTAGGAGCTTCAGGGTTATAGCCATCTGGCTCATATGTATCTATAAAAAAAGGAGAGAAATGAAAGAATTTTTCAAATGAGTTTAAGACTCAGCATATATTTTCCTTTAAGGAAATGCATGGATGTCCAAGAATCAGAAGTTGTTTTGGATGAAAAGAAGAGAGGAAAGAGGTTGTACAGCCAACGTGCATAACCATTTAAAACCCTCAACTGAACTTGTTTATTTGGGCACATTCTCTTTTTTTTTTTTAACCTGTTTGTTACTGTCCGTCAAAAGCACATAGGTCACGGTAAATGAGTATTGCTGATCAGCTGCCTGAAAAAGGAGTGAGGTGTCTGTATGACAACCTTCACAACGTCTGACAGTGTTTCAAGCGGAGCAACAAGAGATTTAGTTTGAGCATTTATTCTGTAGGGCTTAAGATGCAAAGAGATTTTCAGTCTTTTCTGCCCAACGGTCTAGTTTACTTCAGAAAAGGATTTTGGGGGAGGAATATTCTTCAATTATTCCAATCAAAGAAAGCTGGGAAATCGGGTTATTTGACCAATACTTACCTATTAAATTCTCTTAATTTATGGTAAGAGTGAGATCAGCTGCCTAGCTCCAGTAAGGTACTTATTTTAATTAAAGGGGGTAACCAGCAGAACACAAGATGACAGAATTGACTCGTATTGCTCCTCCAGCCCAAGGTCCAAATCAAGGATGATGCATTTTTACAACCATAAAAAGGAAAAGCTATACAAGAACTAGAACGAATGAAGTCTATGAAAAGCCTCCACAGAAACACAGTACATCTAGGAACAGAAATGAATGCCAATACAAGGGGACTCGACAGACCTGAAGTACTCTAAATGTCAGCTCTTTATTACACAGCAAGAATGAAGACTCCACAGTTTAAAACAGAAGCCCCAGAATTTCAATACTGATGTTTTACAGTCCAGTTTCAGACTCTGCCAAGAACGTTCATTAACCCTGCATGAGATGAACCACAAGTTCCTCTTCCAGGATTTGGCATACAATTGCTTGCAAGAGGGCAACCAGCAGTTGTTACCGTAACAGTCCAAGAGCAGGACATGAGAATCTCTACAGATGTTCTGGAGAAGAGAATTATGTAGTGCAGCTGAAGCCAGCAACGCCCTGCGAGCTAAGACAGACAGAATAACCCATTAGAAGTAGTTCTGAAGCTGACAGAATCAGATGGTAACATCTAAATGCCTGACAGCGTTCGGAGAGAATTGAACAGATCATCCAACAAGATATTTGAGTGATTGCACTTCTGAGAAGTACGGAAGTCACAAAGCAAATGACATGGATGACGAGCTAGAGCCCTCCTTTGAATGAAGTTCAGAATATTTATGTAAAAAAACCCTCGATTGGAATATTATAAAACACTGAGATTTAATTATCTTATTTTGCTCACTTAAAACATGGAAGTGCCGTTACTCCTTTCATTATCAAAGAAATATAAGCTTTGCTAGATAATAATGGAGCAACCTAGGGCTCTCCACGTATTTTGCTACTTTCCCTTCTAAAACCCCACTTTTTAAAAGTTTGAGCTCTGTTGAGGAAGACAGACATGTCCATTGAAAGCCATATTTTTTTTTTCAAGTTAGAAAGCTAACTGTTGATTGTGGAAAAAAAAAGATAGAAAGCACGTACTAATGTATATGAAGACTGTAGAGACTATTGTGATACACAGCTGGCGGAAGAAGAAAAAAATATCTCTCTCACCTGTAGTAGCCAAAACTGGATACGAATAAAGGCCGAGTTAAACAGCAATTACAGGTTTGTAGACCATCTTCTGCCTACTGATGTTTTACTACACAGCTTGAAGATGCAGGGATCCCTTTCTTACGCAACCACCTTATTGCTTTGAGCATACAAAACTCAAGCGAAGCTCCCCACAAATAACCTTTCCTCAGGCAGTGACAGAACACTACTGCTACTTCACACAGTAACAGCAAATGATGCACTGAGCGCAAGGAAAGCCCTCAGACTTCTTTTTAGATTTATATGTACTGGAGCAAGACAGAGGTAGTAATTTCTAATCACACATCAACAGAGGAATTTTAAAATTTGTATCTTGAGCAGATTTCAAAACAAAACAAAACAAAAGGTATTTGCTTACGTTCTGATACTGTATACAGTAGGTTCTGGGGTAAAGGAGGAGGTAGTCTTGCTCCTACGGGTGCAAGACTGGGCACTGCACTTGTCCCAGGCTGGTCACGATTATTTATCAGACTCGACTGTGTTAAAGGCGGTCCTACAACGACACCATAGAATAGACCACTAAGACTTAAAACTCCACAGGTAAAACGTGCAAACAATTCAACACAACTGGTTTATGCCTTGCTTTGAGCAAGGCCAAGATTGTAAATATTTACAGTCCCACTACAGTAAAAGCAAGTTGAGAAGCCCCGCTCAGTTCAGTTACTTCGATTCCAACACCTTTCTCTTTCCCAGAAAGGACAAAGCTTTAAGCAAAAACAAAGTACTTGTCTTTTCTTCCCCAGAGGTTTATTACTGTTAGAGCTTGTATTAACTAATGCAGCTCCTCCCTGAGCTCTGCCATGGAAAATCAAGGCTTGCTCAGAGCAAGAGATCGTATCGGCAACATTTAGATTACAGTTCTAAAACAAGAACTACAGGGCAAAAGGCATTCACAGACAAGGATTTTGTCTGGCTATTTTTGCTTTGCTTGTACCATATACAATACATACATTCCTACTTACTATATGCCCAAAAAAGGACCGTCAGTTACATTATGCAACCTACCAAGACACAACTACAAGCCCTGATGGATGCTAACTTATTTCTCATCCCATAGCTGCTGCTATTCAAGACAACTGTCATAGCACATACTGTGTTACTGGAATAGAGAGTACTGAAACAGAGTAACAGCATATCTAGTATTTTATTTCTTCATAGAATTTACATTATAAGACTAAGATGACAAAAAAAGGTTAAACAGTTTCAGAGATCACTGATGAGCTAAAATAGATCTTAGTTGTATCAGTTATCTGCTACTAAAAAGCAACACACTATATAGCATAAACACGGAAATTTATCACAACTTTTAGGGGATTAAACCTCAACATTCTTGCATAAGGAAGAAAAAATCTAGTAATCCAATTGCCAGCAATCAATCCAAACACCACCAGGGTTATGAGATAATCTGAAAGATACCCACCTCTGCTTCCCCGCCCAATTTACCTAATTCAATTTGGAGTGCTAGGAACATCCTATTTTACAAGCTGATTTGTCAGAATTATTTTGGTGGTATTTTGAATAGCACATAGCTAGCAATGAAACTGGAACTCATTACTCTGAATACACACAGATCTTCCAGAACGAGCCACCATTTTAACTTGGTGACATAAAGTAACACCTAACGACGTTCTGACATTTTGACTTACTTGGTACAGGCAGCACAACAGGAGGTGGGGCCTGCGTATGAGCTTGTGGAACTGGCAACCTCATACTGCGAGCTGGAGCTGGCATAGGGGGCAGAAGCATGCCAGGAGGAGGAGGAATTCCCGGAGGTGGTGGGGGAAAAGGAATCATACTTGGCAAGGAAACTTCATCTACTACTAAAGGATCGTTTCCATGGTCAAACTGGCAAAGATCACCAAGCACGCAAAATCCTCGCTCTAGAAAACAGGACATTTGATAACATTTTTAGGAAAAAATAAAAAATAGTTGTTAGCAATTTGTAGCATCTCAATTTTTGCTGGAATTTCTTACTAAAGAAAACATGCAATCACTGATCCAGCATTACATTATCAGATGAGGTTTCAAAATAATTCAAATCAGAATAATATTCCATAAAAGCATACAAACACATATGCATTCATTATAAAAGCCATGGAAAAACGTCACGCAGCAGTACCACCTGTTTAATATTAAACACATATACTGCAATCTTTGGTAGAACTGCAAGTGGTTGAAATATTTGCTGAGCATACAGAATTGTGAACAAACACCATATGTTTTTATTCACCAACTGTCAGACTATAAGTAAACTGCCCCCAGCAAGACTAGTTGCTTCCCTATTAAAATATAGGTCATATATACATCTTATACATGCAAGGTATACTCCACATACTACTGAATTTTGAATTGCTGCCTACATTTAGTAAGCACCCTGAACACCCCCAAAAAAAGTCACAGAAAAATGAAACAAGGTATGAAACTGGAAACTAAGAAACAGACAGTTTACCATCATAATCTCGACATCTTCTCTTAGGAGGAGGGTTTCTGCCAAATGAACTGGGATTGCTATGATTGTTATAGTAATTTGACCAGCTCTCTGTTGTGTTTTCAAGATGGTGCGCAGGTGCAATTACAGTGACAGCACTGGGAATAGATTGTGCAGAGGAATACTGTTCAGTAGATTTACTGGGAGACACGGACACTGGATTATATGAGCCTTCAACATCATTTCTTTCAGTCTTGAATTTTGATCTCTCTCGGTGCTCTGTTTAAAAAAAAAAAGTTAGGTAGTCTTCACGCTTTGCTCTGTATATCAGAGACTTGAAAAAGAGCTACTGCATAACAGTATAAACATTTCCTTACATATTCGGTATTCTGCACATTAAACAGTTCTTGAAGGAGCTTCGTCTTACCAACGGAATAAGAACTAAATATAATGCAAAAAGGGTTTTAACTTCAGAAATCTAAATGTTTTCTTTGCAAAATACACATTCATTTGTTTACTCCTTATTCTGTTCTGGATTACAGCCTTCTCTTTTAAGGTAGAAAGGGGGGGGGAGGGGGGGAAAGCCTGAAACAACAAGCCTCCCACCCACCCTTAACTAATGTGGTCTCAACATGTATTGAAATCTGTTATAATCTGTGCCTCTTTTTTTTCCCAACAGACCTGAATTAGCCCTAAAAGAACAATGGATCACCTGGTAACCACCTTCAATTACAAAGAAACCTTCTCTAAAAAATACACAGTAACAAAGTGAAAAAGAGGGTAACACTATTTTACAAAGAGATGATCTTTGGAAAAAAAAACCAAACCCAAAACCAAACAAAAAACCCAGCAGCTTTGTCAACACACACAGCACAAAAATACCAGCTACCGACATCCGCTGGTATACACCTGTGGATAAATTAAGAGGTTAGCAAAGAAGAAAACAATCTCCTTAATTATTCTACTCTGAAGAACAGCATTTTAGTTAATAATTTCAGGAACACAAAGTTCTCAACACTTGCTCAAACTGCTCAAGGACATCCACAGCCTGCTAGACCATGCAGTATGTAGGAGTCACCACACGTCACTGACATCAGCTCTTCTCCTAGAGCAGCACCTTGGGTACTCACCAACACTTCGGCTTGTATCACGGTCTTTGCTCCTACCCCTACTGCGGCTACGACTTCGACTTAACCCTCTGCTTTTACTACGACTTTTACTTCTGCCACGTCGCCAGCCAGACTTCTCTCTGTACAAGTCACTCCTGTCGTAGTATCGGTCATAGTCCCTCCATTTTCCATCGTCTCTCTTTTTCTCTCTGGTTCTAGAAAAGACATACGCAGACCATGTTTATGAAAAGAGAAACCACATCATAAAATAAGCTTGCAACAAGTTAAGATACTGCTCATCCTTCCCATCCAATTTGGACAGCGAAACATTCCAGTCAGAATTTGGCAAATTACACAGAAAAACACAGAATCTCAAAGCCGAATCACTAACTCACGGAAACCAGCAAGGGCAGGACTGAGAAGAACTGGAAAGGTGAAAAAGTTAGAGGACCAAAACAGAACAGGTTTTAAAAGCGATGTTGACACTTGTGTGAACAACTCCCCCCCAGTGCTGAACAACTGCCCTCCCAATACTTTTCATTTCTATAACAAGGGAAAGCATGGAATTGATGACATTCCTAGGTATTAATATTCGACAAATACTGTCTTTTTTTGGAAAAGACCAACTTCTAGTGAAGGGTTCTCATGTACGTGATGAGCATAAGATAATACATTGCAGATGGAGAAAAGTAGGGAGGAAATCACCATTTTAATGAAAGATCACTACTGATGAGGTAAAAATCCACAGTTAAAGATTGCCAGTAAATATAGAAGAATATATTAATATTTTGGTTCAAAACTAACCTTTGTTCACTGGAATCTGCACGGCTTCTCTGCGGACTGGAATACTTCTTTTTCCTGCCATCCCGCTCTTCTTCAACTGATTCTTGAAAATTCTGTTTAAGCGGCAACTACCAATCAAGGATTAGTATTAAAATGAAGAAAATAAGACCAAGATTTCGTTCAAGTTACAGTTAGCATCCCATACAAAACCACCACCTAAGTATTAACTGCACAGAATACTTAAGCACAAGTAATCAAGCACTAGGTGTTGTTGGGCTTTTTGTCTCAAATCTTTTGAGTTTTTCTGCAGAGGAAATTCCCCAAAATAAAACTACTTTGATACTCTGTTTTTGAACAGGATTTACGAAAGCAAAGTTCTCTATCCACTCTCTATCTCGTTAGTGAGAGCAGGAAATTCTGCAAATGAGGTATTTCTGGATTTTGTAACTGGAACACAACTAAGGAGAGTTACTACTCCAAGTAGATAGATTACTAGTTTACACTTTGAAATAAATGCTTTAAAGCAAAAAACCCGGTTCACGTGGTTGAGCTACTCACACTTCTTGCTGGCCTCAACAAAAGCGGTTTTAGAAGTCTGTCAGCAGTACCACTACTGTAAATCACTCTTAACCCATTTTGTACTTCTGCTGCCGTTTTACACTGCTTAGAAGCTACTGTAAATTTTGGTGGCAAAAGTTTACATGCAACAATCTTTAGAAGATATTTTCCAGTTAAAGCAAAACAGAAAGAAAGGCTTCTTGCATCCTTTTTTAGGATTATCTGGAGAGAACTGGTAGAAATATTCAAGACTTAGCTTGACAGGGCTCTGGACAGCCTAACCTGAGGCCTTACTTTCAACACAAGTTTTATCATGTGGTATCTGGGTCCCTTCCAACCAAGACTCAGCTATGATTCCACACTTGTTTAATTTTGTGTCCTCCATTTGCAGGAATCCTGTAACGCACTGAGCTGTATGACAAATCATCGAGGCCCTACTGACACCGAAATAGCTACTTAACCACCTGATCCTGTAAAGTTGTCCCATAAAGCTGTCCCAGGTATCTCCTTTGGCTTATTCCCACCCCCAAATCCCAACCCCCCCAAAACTCCCCCTTTCTCCCCACGATACTGCTGGTTAAGTCAAGTGAAGGTAGTTCTAAACAAATTCTTTACAAATTATGACAGTAGTTTGAGAACAGATCAGAAAACTGTTGAAAGTCTTGTGTAGTTGCAAATTATGAACTTCCATCATCAAAGCTACTTCCACAAATAGTCATGATAATCCTGAGTCTCATCCTTAGATAACAAAAGGACATGAGAAAGGAAAGAAAAAAACTAACCAGCAACTCTAATTTAAATCAACCGATGAATCACATCCTGTCTAATACGGACCTGCATTCCGCAATACAACATAATACAGCTTTGTTTTGGTTGAGTGACAGATTTTGACCTGCAATTATTTGTCACCTTCGTGACCATCAGCCAGTTTTACCTTTGAAGACAGAACAAGTAACTCCAGCAAGGCCTTTCCTTCATGTTATTTTAGGCTCACAGACAAAATCACAAATCTGAACACCCATTTAAAGTACTTGTCAGAAAAAAAACGGTCCCTATGGTCCACTTACAAAGGCAGCAACAGTTTTTGCTCTTAGCACTGCATGACATAAGCATCCCTGGAGTGAGGGGAAAGGACTAGAATTTCGTATTTACTCTCTCACTTTATTTGCGTCTTTCCTATAGTAATTAAAACACATATTCAGTCTAAAGTATCTTTGCAAACTGATGAGAGTGTATGCAAATAAAGAATGTTTACTTCTCTGGCAATTTTTTCCCCCAACTCACTCTCCAAGCTGGTACGTTAGGATGCTACAAACACAGAGAAGAGGTCTCTTGCCTTGGAAAATCACCAACTTAAAAGAAAAAAAACTAGTATCTTACACAAGTGATAGCAGAGGATTACACAACATACAACTATGGAAATATTACTTTGCTTTTCTCAAAAACTTGATCATTTTCAATTTTGTCAATAAAACTTAAAAACCAGATAAAAGAAAGAACTGGTGGCAAATGAGTGCTACCTCACTTTTAAAAGTAATAAACCCTCAATATAGAGGCCACCATATTTCACTGATTTTAAGTACTACAGAAAACACTTAAAATAATTTCTCTTCCTCATAGAATATACAAAATTGGAAACAGGAAATGTTTTGGGATGTTTTTCCTTCTTCCTCCTCTCTTAAACCCTTCCAAATCATTATCAGCTTGTATTGCCAGGGACGTTCAAATAGGATTTCTAAATCTATTTCTGAATCTAGCTATTCACCTAGATCGAAGGCAGATTCTACAAAGGGATTTTAAAATGTTCTTGTGTGAATGGTCATCTTCTGTTTTTCTTCAGATGCACAGAGATCATAAAGATCACCAGTCACAACAAAGTAGATTTTTCTTCCACATTTCGCCTCACAAATGTATGGGATGGCTAATGTGAAAATTAGAGGCAGGGAAACAGAAGAAATAATGTTACCTCTTCCTTGGTTTCTTCTTTTTCCTGACCTGCAGGCTTCGCTTCCACTTTTGTGGGTTCAAGAGAGGGAAGATAACTCTTTGTGTACAGACTTTCAAAAAGTTTATCTACAAAACCCGAAGTTTCTGAGGATACAGAACACAAGAAAATACTGTCACATACTGCTTTAAGGGCACTGTTACATTTACCTGAAGAGAGGTCCCTGAAAGAAGTAGTCCAGGTGGACTACTTACCGCAGTAACATCATCTTAGATTAGTGAACATCAGTTCTACTCAAGGAGCTGGAATTACATTTGTGGAACTTGAAGTTGCTTATTTAGACAAAGAAATTCATCGGTGTATCAAAGACAGAAACAGAGACTTTTCCCTCAATCACGTTTACAACTTTGAAATGTTCTAAGGGGCAAGTGTGATTGAAACCTACGAACACGGAACAAGACCACAGTCACTCTACCAGCTACAGTTAGCAGACTCTTTACCACACTTTTATGAGTAAATCATTCACAGAAAACTAATCAATGCAACATCAGGTCACAAAAAAATGCACAATAACTTCCCTAGTGAGTGGCAGAACTTCAAGTGTTTAAAACCTTGAATTTGAACCAAACTGTTATAAGCAGCACACCAGAAGCCTGAAAGATTAATATGGACCCAGTTTTCAAAAGTTATCACATTACTGGCAGCGTGACTGATACTTTAAAATGAAATGGCTAGCTTTTATTTCAGAGGATTTCCTCCCACCCACCATGAACAAGACCAAGCTACACAACTTCATCTTAAGATTCCTTTTTTTTAATCACAAGATCTTTATGGCTTCACACTGTAAGAACAATTCAATACACAGACAACAAGAAGTATTTTGAAGGCAACAATGGTGCATCATCCTTCAGCCTCCCTCCTACCCCCAATGGAACGAAAACCACCGAACAGATCAAGCAATGGAGAGCACAGTACCTTTTTGCAGAAAGACATCCAGCTGATCAGCACAGAAAGCTTTCAGCTCTTTCTCTGGTTTGTCTTTCTTGACCAACGCCACAACATAGTTGGCTAAGGCTGAGGGGTCTGCGTCACATCTATTGAGAGAGAGAGAACCATTCTTGATTCTGCTGAAGTATGCCAAAACCCCTGGACAATGCTGGACAATTGCTGTCAAAGAAGAGCCCCCAAAGAAAACCTGGCAACGGATGTCGGATGCTCTTCTGACCTCTAGCACCAAGACAGCTGCACTGGGATGGCTGAGCCAGCACAGGTTTTTGCCCCCAGTTACAGCACAATATTTTAGTTGCTTTGTGACCACCTCCCAACCCTACCACACCTAACAATGTTCCCACTCTTTTGCTCCTTCCTGAGCTTTGCTTAGGAAAAACTACCTTTCTTCTTTTTCACAGAGGGATCTAATCCTAGGGCAACTGAGCAGACGCCATTGCTTCTTAACGTTCTCTAAGCACACCAACCACCACCAAGTACGACACTACACGAAGAGCAGAGCCAGCACCAGGACAGCCACTGTACAGTTACTGCAAAGTACTGAAGGGGCTTTAAAGTATTAAAACATTACTAGCATGTAAAGTAGTTCAGAAAGATATACTGCAAAAGCACATTTTAAATATGCACACAGATACATTCTGTACAGCTTAAGTTACTGTGCTGAACACACTGGGGTTTTCCTTCCCCAAGGACTATTTCCACGCCCACAAATCTTATAGTAATCCTTTAACACTAGTAAAATGTCTAAAGGGGGACAATTATTAATACAGATTCACTATTTGCACTACCTAAGCCCTTACCTAGCTTCAGAAAGGCCAAAGATAGCTATCTTTGTGCAGCAATACTCTCCCACTAATCTTTACATTGGATATTGCTTTAGATTCCGTTATTCAGCTACTAGGAAAACACCCCAAGTATGAACTAGATTAACAGTGCTAAGTGATCAAGCAATAGCTCCTCACTTCGCCTCTCAAAAGATGCAGATGCAAGCCATCAGATGGTAGGTAGGACCTAAAACAGATCGATGATTTAAAGATTATTTTTTTTTTAAAGATTAACTTTTAGAGAGGGGATTGTGTACTTTCCAAGAACATTAACTACGGAAATAGAAAGAAACAGTATAAAGTATGTAGACCTTAAAATAATCTCGAATAAAAAAAAATTCCAGAAAACAAACAAAATGCCAAAAGTCACACAATGACAACTGGTTAGAGAAAATAAAAATTCTCAACGAGAAGCCAGTCAAGCAGCTCTGATCCAAATTAGTTTGCTTGCTGTTTCCAACACCCAGTGAAAGCCCTGTTACATGTAGCAATTAACAACAAAGTAACCACAAATTTACAGATTTTAGAATTCTTATACACACACTCTCACAAAAAGAAATAAACTGCATGTGATGTATTTGGTGCCAGTGCCCACGTGCACCTGACCATAAACCTTCAATTTAAAATACAGGAGATGATCCACCACTTTATAACCACTCCCCTTCCTTTCTCCGTACATCGATTCCTCGTAAGCATGACGCTAGGCTCTACAGGAGCACGCGTACGCTGCGCACGCTTCTCGGGTTAACCATGCTGTGTTCCGACCCCCGGACCCTCCACTGTCAGGACCTGC